TGTGTGTTTGTGTGTGTGTGGTGTATATATGTGTGTGTGTGTGTGTGTGTCTTTTTGTGGCGTGTGTGTGTGTGTTGCTCCCCCTCGTGCCCCAATAAGGGGGGGGAGCGAAGGCCACTGGTGAGTCTCTGACACAGCTGCCTTTTATAAATGGCCGCCACTGAAGGGCATCAGCTCCATGCTCATCGCCCTCCTGCCATAGAAACGTGCTGAGTGATCGATTCGTGCAGTAACATGGAGGTGAACGCCATTTCAGGGCATCGTCTAAACAACTGCTTTTAATGACTCTCCCGTGTCGGCCTGTAAGATGTCGTGGGGTTTTTGGGTGGGTGTTTAGTGGGCTGTTGGGAGTGGGGCGGGCTGTTTATCGTCCTCAGGATTTTCGGGTCATTTCCCACCCTCACAGAGGTCCATCCGCTCGTTCGGCAACGATGACCGCCACGTGATGGCGAAGCACTCTGGCATCTACCCGTCGCCGGAGGAGCTGGAGGCTGTGCAGACCCTGGTGTCCACGGTGGAGTGTGCTCTCAAGCACGTCTCTGACTGGCTGGACGAGCTGAACCGTCCCGCCGCCGCCTCCCAGGAGCCCGAAAGCAACGGCTCGGACGACGGAGCCAAGTAGGCGGAGCCACGCGCCGTCACCGCCTCAGTTGTGATTTCTGGGTATTTTTGTGGGTCCGTTTACTTACGTTTGTTTGGTTTTGGGTGTTAATGGGGACCGAGAAGCTCTCTGTACGGTACTCCCCTGCCATGGCATGATGGGGAAACCGCGTGTAGCCCCTGACGGCTCCCGTGTCGCTTGCCGCCCCAAGTAGGGAGCCCAGCGGGGGGGTGCTGTGCGGCGTGGTGCGGGTCGGCCTGGTGGCCAAGGGCCTGCTCATCAAGGAGGACATGGATCTGGAGCTGGTGCTGATGTGCCGGGAGAAGCCCACAGAGACACTGCTGCACACGGTGTGCGAGAGGCTGCCGCTGCACATCAAGGTAAGGGCCGCGGGGAACCCGGTGCTGTGCCCACCGACTATACCGGGCTCTGCCCACACTGGGACCTCCCCCCCTTGCCTGGCACACGCCTGCAGAATATACCCAGAGCGCTGGCCTGAAAGCGGCCCGATGCCCCACCCCCCACACAAACACATGGAGCCAAAAGATTTAAAGATCCGTTTGACGAACAAGGCTCTAATTAGTGGCGGCTCCAGAACGGGAATGTGTGCTGCCAGTAATAGGTATTTCTCATGCGCCCGCCGCATCTGCGGTCTCGCTGGGGTGGGGGCTTATTCGTAACCTGAACCGGGGGGGGGGCGGCTTGTTTACGTGGAGTCAAGGGAGAGGCACTGCATCACATGCAGCCTCTGCTGACACACTGGAATTTATCATATCGACTGTAACGGGAAGAAGATCCTGTGCCTGACTCAGGGGGCCTGGCCTGGGGTGGCGCGGGACGCCGCAGTGCACGCAGCATTCGTCACAGAGTTGGGAGCGGCCTGCGGGCCGGGTGCTGATTAGCGGTGTGTTCAGGGTGTGTATGTACGTCTTTCTGTGTGTGCGTGTTAGTGAGCGTGTCACAGCTGATGGCAGTGTTTGTCTGAGCACACCCCCCCGCTCCCCCCACACCCCCTGACACTGGCTTGTCCCGCCCACAGAAACTGACCGAGGAGCCGTATGAGGTGACGGACTCGGTGCGGGAGGCGGCCATCTTGGTGCACGGCACCTCCGAGCCCAAGCTGACGCTGAAGGTGACCCTGACCTCTCTGCAGATGAGGGAGGAGGGCGGCCAGGAGGATGAAGGTAACCAAGGTGAGGGCGCGTCAGTGACAGGAGGGGGCCACGTGGAGGGGTTGGGCTCCATCTGGCATTTCGGGGTAGCTTTGATCTCTACACTTAGCTGTCCACGTTCCCTTCGGATCTGCTGAACACAATGCACCGGCATATATCTGCCCTTAGCCGCCGCTGATTATTGAGTACCATGTTGTAGGCTTCAGCCCTGTATGGAGAACGCAGTGGGACAAGGAGGTAAGGTGTGAGGAGCTGGACTAGCCCCATTTCTGTTGGGTTGACTAAGGATGCAGACTCGAACTCGGCGCCACCTGCTGGCGAAGCAGCAGAAGATGTGCCTGGCTTGTGCAGGATCGCCTTGCACCTTTGACCGACTGGCCTTCCCTGGTCTCCCCTGGGCCGCGGGAGACCTGCTGCGTGAGACCTCGCTTTGTCCTTCCCGCGGATGCTCCACTTCCTGCAGGTTGCACTCTTCTCTAGGTTCTCAGGCAGAGGCGTGCAGATCTGACCTGGGATTTGGCTCTGTCCGGCCTCTGGACTCCGGGTTGTTGCACGGCGAGCCGCTCTCATGCCCATCCATGCGGTGCTTCAGAGACGCCTCGATCGTATCATGACCCGCTGCGGATGAAGGGGAGCCGTGAGCCCCACTAATCCCCCGTCTTAATGGCGTAAAAACCGGGGACGTGCCGCCACACTGGCCCTGCCCGCTGTGGGAACGCATCGACCCGATCCCGGGCCTTCTCAAACGCTTCAAAGCTGGCATTGAAGTTTCTTCAGGGAGTTCCCCGATAATCTGCCCCTAGCTGATGGAAGAGCTTTGCTGTGTGTGTGTCTGTGTGTTTAATAAGCAGACGGTGTTTCCACATTCCGAGCTCATCCCGTTAGATTAGACCTTAAACTCGGCAACGTTGCCCAGATAGCCCCTATCTACAGAAGCGTAATTAGATTACGATTAGTCATGGGGAGGGACATGATCAATGGTGTGTATGTCTCTGTGCACTCCTAATGGCTGCAGCCGCATTACTATTCTCCGTTAGCCTCCTCGGCGCCGATGGGGAGACCCTCCTGCATGCTGCGCGATGCGTTTCAAGCGGCCTGGTCTCACTGGCCCGGTGAAGGAGACGCGCTCCTTCTCATGCTCCTTCTCGTGCTCCTGGGCATGCAGACCTCCACCACTCGCATGCCTCTCTGTTCCTTCACTCACACACAGAGGGAATCCGAATCCGGTGGGGATGGCCGTGCCCTGCCCGTTCAGCACAGCGTTTGTCTGTGACAGAGGCTGGGGGAGGGGGGGCTCGCCAGGGGCCCATTGGGATGCGCCAAATGAGCGATGAGACCGGGAGGGGGGGCAGTAAATCAGGCCGAAATCCCTGCTCTCCAGGGGCCAGGTCAAGGGCTCTGTCAGCGACAAAACCAGTTCATCTCCCAGAAGTCAAACTGGGACGATTCATTATTGCACTGGGAGCAGAGTCTGCCTGCTGCTTGTTTACAGACTGGCCTCAGATGGATTTTATTTTTTTTTTATTATTTTTTTTTTTTTATATGAAGTCATGAACATTTAGCTACAAACGCATAAAACGTTGGTTTCAAACACCACTTTGGGGAGCTTATACCATTTTGTAAGTGGCAGACTGCCATGATTAAAATAGTAAGTCACAGGCTTGAATTAATGATTAATTATGCTTTTTACGATTGGCTCTGCATGTATTTTCTGCACTTATTTGCAGTGTGATGTAATTTAACTCTTTTCCACTGACTAGTTCCATCTCTACTCATTGTCTGAACTGAATAAATGTGGATCAGCCCATCCCTACCAAAAACCTGTATACACACCGGCCCTTTGCAGATAAGATTGGCCACCGCTGCTCTAGGTTACTCTGGAAGTTTGTTTTGATTTAATAAAAAAAAAAATCTTTATTTTTTACTGTTTAGAACTTTATTTGCCCCCAAAACTGCTGAAAGTGAGGCATCTGCAGCGTCCTCTGAGAATGGGGCGTTTGTCGTCTCTGAGCTCCGACCTCCCTAGCTGTCCCTGGAGTCGCCAGAGATCTGCCCCCCCTCCCTGTCGGGTGACACGTGCTGACCTGGTACAGCTGCAGTTGCGGCTGCAACAAACATTTATTTGCTTAACGAAAGAAGGAAGAATAGAGCTGTGGATAGGACTGTCGCGCCGACCGACCAGCCGCTGCCGCAGTCCCCACGCTCAATGTCTGTCTTCTGTTCTCTTCTGCTCTTTCCACCAGTAGAGCGCACTGAGCCAGCAGAAGCGCCCGACCTGCTGGACCGGCAGAGCTGTCTGGTCGCTCTGGCGTCTCTGCGACATGCCAAATGGTTCCAGGTTGGCCTCCTCCTTACCTTGCTCCCCATCAGCCTTATGGTGTCGGCCAGCTGCCTCGCTTGTCTGCCGGCTCGCTCTCAGTAGCCCAAAAGATAAACACACAAGGCTACAAAAGCAGAATTTGGCACATTTCTCCTTTGGCTTCCTCTTTAAAGCTGCTTTTAAACAGCACATTTGTGTGCCCCCCCCCCCGACTTGTGTGCTCCTGTGCCACCTCCAGCTCTGTTTAGTGTGTGGTCGCCTGTTCTGGACTGTGTGTGGGACACTCCGCATTAACCCCCCCACTCCCCCCCACCTCACCTCTAGGCGCGAGTGAACGGCTTGAAGTCCTGTGTAATCGTGCTGAGAATCCTGCGGGACAGGTGCAACAGGGTACCTGCATGGGAACCTCTCAAGGGATGGGTGAGTGCCCTGGGGCATGCTGGGAAGGCAGTGGTGCATGCTGGGATGTTTGAGGCCCGGACTCCTTTGTTCAACCTTAGTGTCAGCCTGTTATGTAACGGCACACAATGGAGAATGGCACAAAAATGGAGATAACATTCCCCAAAATGACTGTTTTGCTGTAGTGGGTATTTACTGGTCTCTGTCGAGTAACTCCTCAAATCAGTAATGTGTGGCAGCAGGGGGGATAGAGATTGATAGCTACCCAGCTGCCCTTGTTGTACCTCACTGTAGTGAATAACCTACGCTGATTGAGCAGATACCCGCACATGTAAGTGGGGAAATAGATTAAGTGTGTTACCGCCCCCCCCCCCCACTCCTCTCCGACTTGATGACAGCCTCTGGAGCTGATCTGTGAGAAAGCCATCGCCACATGCAGCCGGCCGCTGGGGGCGGGCGAGGCCCTGCGCAGGGTGATGGAGTGTCTGGCCTCTGGCATCCTGCTCCCAGGTAAGGGGCGGCGTGGGGGGGCGGGGGGCCGCAGAATCCCGTGGCTATTGCCTGCTGAGGCTCACGCTGCTCTTAAAGGACGGCAGTGAGTTGCTCTTTGCTGGATACGGGGGGGATCTCCACTCCCCTGGGGGTCCGACCTTGTAGCCGGACGGGAGGTGATGGCATGCCGGTTGTCTCTCCAAGGCGGCCCAGGCTTACATGACCCGTGCGAGAAGGAGCAAACGGACACGCTGTCCGCCATGACGGTGCAGGAGGCGGAGGCAGTCACTGCCAGTGCCCAGGTAAGAGCGGGCTGTCCCGGATTTGGGCAGAGGGATCCCCTTTACCCAGCCCTCTCTGCAAGCCGATCACTGCCCCGTGCGGATTCTCCCCCGGCTCGTACCCTGGATAGTGCCATGCCATGTCACTGCGAGCTTATACGTGTCTGGGTGTGTTTAGTGAGCGAGCCGGTTTCCCATGAGGCCCTGGGGCAGCCCCTCGCACTGTAGTCAAAGTCGCAGTGCAGCTCTGCTCCCATGAATCTGTAATCTGCGAAGCATTAAGACTCCACCCAATGATGAGGGGCTCCTTTACCTTCCCCCCCCCCCCCCCCAGGTCTTTCTGTAAGAGCTGTATAATGCATTAATGCCAGGCTCACACAGTGTATGTATCACTGGTATATTAAGGCCCCCTGCAGCATCTGTCTGTCAAACTGTTCATGCCAATACATTCTGACTAGAGCTTAAAATGTCATGTGGTGCTTGTTGAGGGGATTCCTAAGTAATGGCTGGAGATTTAATGCCAGACACGACGCTGTCAGCTAAATAGAAATAAAATTTGAATGCGTGTCATTATCAATTTGGGATATGCTGTTTAAGATGTACCCGAGAGCTACACTTGTAGGAATGTTCCCGGATCATTACCGACGTGTTCTTCTTTTGGGTCGCTAAGGACCGTAATAGCATTGTTTTTGCTTTGTGGATAGCAAGTCACAAATATAAGAAGCCTAAAAATGTTATATTTTAAAGTATCACAGGAAGACACCCACGTCTCTTCAAGGTATTAAATAAATAAATTTCCTGCCTAGTACTTGGTGTATTTTTGGAAAGGGAGCTAAATCTTTAAGTGAAGTGTGATAAATGTGTAGGTCGTCAAGTAATTTTTTCCCTCAGGAGTCCCGTCATACTGGCTGGGGGTAAACGGACCTAAAAATGAGTTTGCGCCTTATTTCCGGCCCGTTTGAGCAGAGAAGCTAATGGCAGCGCTTCCGCCGCAGTCCGCTCGCTCACCGTGTCATCTGTGCCGAGGATGGGCTCCGGGCTCCGGGCTCCGGGCTCCGGGCTCCCGGCTCTGTCCTGGCCTACTGTCCTCTAGCTTCCTCATTACCTAAACATGGCTCCCCCTCCTCTGTTCCTGCTTATCTGCAGATGACGGGTTTGTCTCCTTGCTCATTAACCTTTGTGTTCCAGCATGCCCTTCGGCTTCTGGCTTTTGGGCAGATCTACAAGGTCCTGGAGATGGACCCTCTGCCATCAAGCAAACCCTCCCAGAAGTACTTGTGGTCAGAAAAAGAAGGTACCTGTCTCTGACTGTCTCTCTGTCTGTGTCTCTGACTGTCTCTCTGTCTGTGTCTGACTGTCTCTCTGTCTGTGTCTGACTGTCTCTCTGTCTGTGTCTGACTGTCTCTCTGTCTGTG